AATTTATTTTCACATTTATATTTTCTGCTTGATAATTTATTTCTAAGAAATATAAACGGAGTTGTTTTGATATAATATCTAATATTAGTTTGATTTCCATTAATACACCATTTTCCATACAAATTTAACTAAGTTGTTAAGTATTATTTAGGTAAATTTGATTTGTTTTACTAATTAAAAGACACATACATCAATTCACTGTTTGCTAATTTCCTTTTTTTGTAATTTTATAACAAGTTGTATTTGTCGCTTAGTTTAGATATCGGGAAAATATAGAGAGTTTAGTATTGTTTGAAGTTAAAAAGGTTGCTATCAATATATATTGAAGTTTTGCTTTGATTTCCTGCTTACATATTACGCAACGTATACTTGAGTAAGAGACTGACAACTTTTTTCAGAGCTTACTTCAAAATTTTTACACTAACAAAGAAAGCAAAAACAAATAACATTTTTTTTGGATTATATTAATTAATAATAATGGAGACCGTTTCCAATTTTTGGATTTGCAATGTCAAATGTCTCTTAATTTGGAGTATTGGGAACCGTATAATTTATCACGTTTCATTATCCACCGCTCTGCATTCCACCGAATTCGCTTTTCCAATTTACTGGAAGTGGAATCTTAAGAGCAGTTGCCTTGTGATGACCCCTAGAATATTACTTAGTTCTCTTTTGCCTGGAAGTAGAAGGTAGAAGAATTGTATGGCCTGTCCACCATCAACACAACCTCCCAAAGTAACTTTGTGATATGCCATGTGATGCTAGTGTTCCAAAACCTGAGTTGTTCCTCTATGGTCCATTGCTTCAAACAACCCTTGAACTGAGCTGAGACAGCTTAAAGAAATTGCGTTCCCAGCTGCTCCCGACTCACCTACTGAGATTATAGTTATTGCGTACTTGCATCGGGGTACGGCCTAGAAATTTGTTGGTTAGAGCAGAGTCCCACTTGCTATCTTCTGTTATGTCCATAATTCTGGCCTAAGAGAGTTGTAGTCATTTAGTGTGAAACATTGCACCTGTTCAGGGCATTTTTTCGATAATGCCACCCACCATACACAATATTGTTATTAACTTTGATTTTATAATAACAAATTAGCCAAGTTTTTCGCTAAAAATCAAGTTTTTTCTTTCTTTTCTTTCCTTAATGGAAAAAGTTTTCTGCGATAAACTATGGTCTAAAGAATGAAAATTGATTTTTTGATTTCGGATGATTCAGCATTAACTTATGATGGCACCGCAAACCCACTTTTTTTTCGAAATGTGTTCGAATTATTGCTGCTATTGCCGTGTTTTTGGATATTTATTCAAGAACATTTTACAAAACCCTCTTCAAATTTCATACTATAAAACTATTTATTTCAATAGAGAGATTTTAACTGCATCGTTACAAAAATTTTACAAAATCATCCGTTTGTTTGCACAAATTAAATGAAAATTTAGTCTAAATTTTCTATTACAACTCTTCACTAAGTATAAAGACAGCAACTGATATTCCAATTAAAAGAATATATACGTATATGGGAAAAAATGTTAAACTTGTTCAAAAGTATGGTGATAGGTAATCAAATTTTGAAGTACACAGTCTCTTGCTCACTGTCGACACAAATTTACGTATGTACATACACATTTATTTAACAACAACAATTTTTTTTCTACAAATGGTTAAGAAGGTAAACAATTTGAACTCTTTCATAAAGAGACCATTCAGTGCCAACATTGTTGATACAAACTCATTTCATACCTCTGCATATATAAATACTTAACACTGTTAGCAGAAGTATTTGCCCAATTCTAAATTTTAAGCACACAATTAACAATTCAAGTTCGTTACTATAATATAGGCTTCATAGATTTCGAGTTCACAATTAAATGCGCTCACACTGCATTTGTTTTATTAAAGAGTTTTGAAAATCTTCATATTTAACACCGAATTAAATTTTTTTTTTGTAATTTTTAAATTTGAGTTATATTATTTGTAATCTTAATTTTTCAGTTGCTTAGTTTAGTTTTCACATATTTTAGAACTTAGTTTTGTTGCTATATTTTTATTGTAAAGCTTTCGTTTCATCAGCGCATTCATTTCTCTAAAGTAAAGCATTTTCAACACACTTCCATTTTAAACATTCGTCTATCATTTAATATATAGTATTGTTCATATTTAGCGGTTTTTGTTTTGAGTTTTTATTTTTGTTGCAGTTGCTGGCACACGTCACAAAGGAAATGGTTGAAAATGTGAAAAGTTCAACTACGTGTTTGGAAATAAATATATGCTAACACATACATACACGTGTGTATTTTAGCTCGTGGCCATTTTTAGAAGCTATTGTGTGTGCCTAAAAATATGCCAGCTTCGCTGCTTTAGGTCAACAAAGGTTCTGTGTGCACGCAGCTTGCCTCGGGTGGTTCTTGCTAAGTGTGTGTGTGTGTATCCGTGTAGGTGACTGTGTGTTTATAGGTGTCCTTGTGTGTATTATTTCCACTAGAGTTACTCTGACATATGTCTCTACTTAAAATAATTCACCATAAACGTATAAGGCGAAACTTTCCCGACCTCGCCACTGGTATAGCAGTATTCCAAGCGTTTACAACTGAGCAACAATTCTATCGTATTCATAAAGTAAAGTATTTGGTATCAATTGGTTTGCTGTGTGGCTGTATATGCATGCATAAGTGTATGTAGATGGCGCAGCATGGTGTAAAACACAGATGTAGGTATAGTTTTTGTTGTATTCGTTGAGATTATTGTGGTTGAACAGCAATGTTAGCATTAAAAGCAGCCAAATTTACAAGCAGCAAATACAAAATATGAATTAAGAAATTAAACGAACAAAAAAGCAAAACATATCGGTGAAAGAGAAAGAGAGAGAAAGACAGAAATGTAATTATTACTTTTTTATAAAGCTTAAATAGTTAATTATATTCGTTGCAGTAATTTATGTAGAATAATGTTTTGTTTGTAAGTTTAAATAATATATTCTTACGCTCAGCTGTACTTATGAATAATATTGAATTCGACACCAAACTGAAGTGTAATGAAAATGAGAGAAATGCAATATATAAACGAGTAAAATTATGATAATAAAAATGAGCTAAGCTGCCACTTTAATCAAGTAAAAAGATCGTGTGCTACATTATCGTCAAATATCCTGGAAAATTACAACAAACACGAGTAGATACATTGTACCAGTGATGAAGTGACAACCAAGTTGTGACAGGTGTGACATTTTGCAAATAAAAAGCCAGAAAAAGATTAAGAAAAATTAAAATTGCAATACAATTGAGAACGTTTAAACATTTGATTTTCTTTTAAATGTACACTAAAGAGGGGTTCTTTTCTCGTCTGAAAACTTTTTTATGTGTATAGAAAAAAGCAACTTTTACGCGCTCACATACTGGAACTAGTCGAATATCCTCTCACTTACACTCATTAAGGACCTTTTGCGATAATTTTAAGAATAAGGGTTTAAAGACTATCTTTCAAGCCGTGATCAATAATATTTTTAAAACGTTGTTGCTACAAATAGTTACGAGATGTAAAGAGTGGTTATGGGCAGTGTTGTCCCCACAGCCAATTTTGAAATTGCAAATAAATGATTAATAAATTGTTAATTCAACTGAGGTGTAAATCCCTGTTCGGAAAAAAATAAATACTTGTATAAAAGTATATTTATTTTTATTAAATGAGAAAATGTTTACGCCGACTATATTTCTATGATCTTATTTTTAGAGGAAAATATTTAAGAACATTTTTTTAAATAAAAAACCAAGAGTAGTCATCATTGCATGAATTTTATGTGCGGGGAATGACCATGTTTCGACCAGAGACAAAATACGGAAAGATATGGTAGATAGCATACATTGACAACAAGCCTTAGAATACAAAAATATCTCGCACGGTCATCAGAATATGCTTTAGTACAACAAAATTAGTTATGAATTGATTTATCGTAAGTAAATCGCTTCCTTGGTTTAGCTGAGCAGAGAGGAGTGTTAAGAAAAATCGAATCATATTCAGTCAATATTGAAACGAAAAATATATTTTGTCCCACTAAAAAATAATTATAAAACAAGCTTTTTAAATATATTAAGAATTTCCTCTCCTTATCTAATACAGCACTCTTTTATATCTTCGTTAATATTATCCATCTTCGTTTAGCCACTTGTTTTGAGCTTAGCTGACCTGGGAGAAACAGCAAGTAACGAAACCAGAAGAATTAAGCTCAAAAGAATATTAAATCGGCATGAGAGGAAATGCGACTGTGCATGACATAGATGAGCACGAAATTAAAGGCACCCAGTGTACTTAAGTCGGTGAATAATTTTCATTCTTTGTTAAAACAAGTATGTATTTTCGTGCTTCCTGATATATTTTATATATTGAACGATTAAAATTAATAAAGTGGACCCTAGACTTTAATTTTATTGTCTCTAAATAACCTAGAAGACAAAATGTAATTTATAACACCAAAAAGTATTCATAATGACAAAATATTTCCCTTGGCGGCAAGACCATGCGCGGCGTTGTTTCGACAACGACTGAACGATAGAGCGTACGTGTACGTGTGAAGTCAGCTTCAACAATTTTGCTATGAAATGCCCTCTCTCTATATTCTATCATTTTCAAGTATGCCAGTCTATTTGATAGTTAGTTCATTGTTCGATTCGCCACTAACGAAATATAATTTCAGTTACTAGTTGTATATAAAGAATCAAATATTTCGCTCGCATATTAATGTAGATAAAAACTAAAATAAATAAAAGAAAAATGCGAAAATAAAAAGAAGAGTATGAAATTTTTTATTTTTTTATTTTATAAAAATAATTTCTTTTTATTTATCTATAGTTTATGTAGTTGCCAATCAAACATAGGTATTACAAAAACTTCTTCAGCTATAATATTTTCCACTGATTAATACTTACTTATTTATATTAAATATTAAAAATTAGAAAATATATTTAATAATATGTTTATATAATTTAAGCACAAAATTATATTTATTCCGCTAATTACATTATTAAAAGACATCTAAAATAATTATGTAAGAAATGAGGTTTACTTTGCCTTTAACCGCTTACAAACACACATATTTCTTGATTTTAAAATAGTAAAAAATTTAAGAAATAAGTTTGATTTTTTATATAAATATATAACTCATATATATACACAAATACTTATATACTTTATTGTTTAGTACACAAATGTGTCATAAATTATAATTTTCTAATTCTATTTTTGCAGCTAAAACCAAAGTTTATACACACATTTGTTGAATTCTTTTGAATATATTAAAATTGAAGGTAAAGAAAATGAAAATAATGAAGTAAAGATTGATGATGAGTATTTATTTTATGTGACTTTGACGCATGTTGGCAATCCTCACTGAATATGCGGGCATCGTTCCCAAAAAGAGACCATATGTACAATGGAAAATATATAAGTACATACAACATACAAATGTATGTATATTCTCAAAAAGAAATTAAAAGGCGTCGATGAAAGATTAAGTACCTCATTAATTGCTTAATTACGCCTAATCAAATAAACTAGTAATCTGCAAACAGTGACCAGAAGAACAAAAATTTAACGGCCGACATTTTGATTTAAATTGCACTAAAAGGTGCCTAAGCGATTTTTCTGATTAGCGTTAAACAAATTCATAAATTTTTATAAACATCGTATTTATGAAGAAAACTTGAACATAGCAACATTTTGAGATTACACAACACAGTGATAGTCAGTAATTATACATTTTTACAATATCGAGATTTGGATTTGAAGACAACCGTGGTATCCTTAAAAATTCAAGATTTCTATCAGACGGATAATCCACTAGGCACGTCGCAAAACTGATTTAGAATAAAGAATCGATGGAGCCTGTGAGGTTCTTATCCAAAGAGAATGCAAGGTTTGACTCGATCACGGCACGGACCCGGACCTTTATCCGGCAAAGACTTGGCAGAATTCTGCCGCTAAAACACAACAACAATTAACTTATTGACTGTAACTTTTGCAAATTTTAATTTATAAGAATTAAAGAAGACTTAATGAGTTGAAAAATAAGTGACGTATCGCTTTCAAGTCCTTATTGCAAGTCAAATAGACCAATTTTATTTAAACTTTTTTTTTACCGTTCAACACATTTTTGACAGTATTAACATTAAGCAATTATTTCAAGTGGGATCCAAATAAACAAGAACACAATATTTGATGGTATATTAAAAAAATGAAGTTTTTTCTAATAATAGTAATGCCGCTAAACTCAAAAGCTGAAATAAAGTTTACATCGGTGGCAAATCGTGCTTGAATATAACTTGTAGCACAGCGTTTTAATAGTCTTACTTGATTCATCGATACTTTGAGAGTGGCGAATCGAACAAACCAGCCACATAAATAAAAGAATTGGTGGAAGATACTTAACAAAGACTAAGTTACTATTTTATATTTACTTTAACACAACTTAATTGTCATTCCAACTTCACAAATCCTTTATCTTTATATATATAGGCAAACCCCCGAGCAAATAAAGCGGTAAAGACGTTGGATATTTTTGGATGATGGATAAAGTTAAACACTTGCTTAATAACTGAAGAGTGATCCCACTTTAATTTTTATTGTCATATGATCTTTAGCTAACTGATGACTCCGTTCCCCCGGAACAGAGTGAAAATATATCGCGTGATTTGGATTTAGATATCGTTTTTGTTTTCAAACATATTGGTATAAATAAAATTTTAATTAATTTACACCATGAAATAACTACTCAAGATTCTTCTCTTTTTGTATATTTTTGGTTATGTGCTCGGCAGACACTCTCTTTGCTGTACTCAATACCACATTTTTTAAGCTTCGACTGTACCAGGGCCATATATGCTATGTAAAGTATATCTGTATGTGTAAATAGTATGAGCTCACATTGCTATTGAACATTGCAAGTTGAGATCAAGAATCTCTATATAATTTTATGGGCTTCTTAACATATGTACGTTTATCTTTCATGCACTCTATTCTGAATTAAAGCATTGTAAATAGTGAGAAATTAACCGATAAAATGAATGTCGGCACAACTGTCTAATTTTTGAAAACCAGCAGGTCCGACGTGACCTGACGAAAGGCCAATGGCGTGCTTAGGAACGTTACAAGGCTGTACTTATTATATATATGTACAGAATCAAATAGTGCACTTATAGTAACTTGCTAATTTGGTACGGTTTCCTATTAAAATTACACTGAATTCCTTTTTTTCTACTACTAACACATTTAACAACAGATTTACTGATATATTTCTTGAGAAAACTCAAAACAAACAACCACCTTCAAACCACAATTAGTTAGCAAGTAAGTGGTGATAGTAAAAATACTGAGCTGTTGCATTGGCAAAAGGTGTAGGAATGAAACTACTATTAGCAAGAAACACCCTGTTTAGCCACTGTATACCAGGCGCGGACCTTCACCAGTGACGGCGACTCGGACGTAGGCAGGTGCTGCTGCAACTGCAACTCACTGTCGCTGACTGTGCCTCTGGTGGCACGATCTAGAGGGTGAGTTGTTGTGGACTGTGGTTGCAAAGCTACTGTTGTTCCCGCTGGTGCAGTTAGTGCCGACGCCGCCACTGAGCTGGCGTTGCTGGTGCAGCAGGCGTCGCTGCATCCGCTCGATGTGGCAGTTAGAATGTTTGTTGTTGTTGCGTATAAATTTTGATTTTGCTGCAATCTTACATTTCTATCATGTTGCTTTTGTAATTGCATGTGCGACTCACATTCAATGTTTATAGTGGTTGCCGTTGTGGCCGTAGTAGTAGTAGAAGCAGCTGCAGTGGTGGTGTTGCTGTAGTCCATTTTACTGTTATGTAGTGCTGCGTGCCGTTCATAATATGGTTGTTGTTGTTGCTGCTGCTGATGTTGATAGTACGACGGCGGCACATAGTCGCATTGTTGCAGCAATAATTGCAACTGATATGCATTGTGTAGTTGTTGTGGATGGTGGAAGTGATAGGGTGCAGACTTCGGTCCCACCTGCGGACAGCGATACCTCACCGCCGCGCTGACGTCGCGTCGCGACCAATGTACACCGCTCGTATACGTGTTCGTGGGTAGCATGTAGTCGCTGGCGTCATAACGTTGCCACCCCGCAGTAATTGCCCCCGCATTACCACCATCCCCACCACCGTGCACATCGCGTCTCCCGCTGCCATTTTCGCCGTGCGCACCACTCCAGCTCACCTCTTTACGGGTTTTACTAGTACGTCGCTTGCTACACTGCTGCTGCAGCAATCGGCTCCATTGGCGGCGTTGATGAGGACGCAAATGGCGCAACTGCAGCTCAATTTGTGGGCGCAGGCAGTGATGGCACATGGATGCCAGCTTGTCGCTGACCGCTTCTTCGCTATCGCTGTCGCATGAGGCAGTGGAGTTGTCGCTGCTGGAAGTATGCGTGGTAGCTGCGGCAATACTATGTGTAATGGTGCGCTTGTCAGTGACTTCGCGCAGTTGAGGTTTCTCACAATTTGTGGTTGAAGTTTGGCTTATTAGTGTATCGACTTGTTTACGCTCGCGTGGCTGTAATTCTGGCTGTGATGACTGTGGCTGTGCTTTATCTGGTAGTTGTATTTGTAGGACTTTCTTGTTTGACTTACGTTTATTTGGCTTTTTGCATTTGTCGCGCTGTATCTGCTCGTCCAGTGCCGTTTGCTGTTGCAACATCTGTTGCTCCTGCTGTTGACGTTGTTGTGATGATGATTGTTTGCGCCTATTGCGACTACTACGTGTACGGCTATGATTAGTAACCCCCTTGCCCCGTCCCGACGAATGTGGTTTGTGTTGCCGGTTATTACCGGCACTCTCGTCTCGTTTCTCCAGTGGATATGGTCAGAACGCTGAGTCGAAGACGGACATTGACCGTGATATGGCTTCGTCATTTCGACATGTCTCCAGAAATTCATCCAGCGTCACCACACCATCACGATTTTTGTCCATTTTCTGAAAATATACATAAAAATATAATATCATATAAATGAATCCGCTTAAGCTTTTATACAGAGAAATTGTCAATCTTGTGCTATGAATGACTGAATAACCGATTGATTCAGATTAATTTACTTCTTTGGATTAACTTTTAATTTTAAGAGTATCTATTCGATATTTTAATACTTATTATGATATTCGGGGTGGAAACGAAATCAATCTTGAGTGTAAAATGAATAGAATACTAAGCAAAATTTAGTGGTTTACTAGTATTAAAGAAGGAGGAGGCATGATTTCGTTTATTGAAGTCGAACGTTTGAGAACGAGAGCCTGTTTTTATTATATTTTCGTCAGTTAATGAGATTTTTCAAAGGAAGCATGAGAATTTTGAGCCTATAATTTTCACTATTATATACAAACTAGTTGGTGTTTACTTTGCCAATGTATGACCTTTTAACTTATAAGTGGTCATAGCAAATGGGATGAATTGCAAAAAAATAGAAATGTCAGGGTAATGTTATGCACAAAAATCGGGCAGTGCCACTCCCACTTTAAATAGTTTTCAACATAATCGTTATATGGGTAGATGATATGGTTAACATCCGATTTCATCACTTTTCACAGAGTACGAGCTTTAGCTATAAGAACTTACACTTAGAAAGTTTGGTTTAGCAGAGGCCTTTCATACTTTAATGCCCTTTAGCAAATTACAGTTTTGTATCTGAAGAGTTTGGATCATTGCTATAGGAAGGTTCAATTTCCAAATGTTTTACAAACTAAATTAATTAAATTCCTTCGTGAGATATCTCATTTTTAGTGGTACAAGTTTTAGTAAAAATGGATAAAACGAAATCAAGTCTCTACTTAGCCTTCATATGAATGATATATGGAAATAAATTAAGCGAGAATGAATCACCGAGATTGAAGTCCATTTTAAAGCAAAAGAGTATACAGATAAAAAAGGTAGCGAAAACTAGGAAGATAGCAATAATCTGTGAATCGTCTTCGATCAGTGTAATCTTTGAGCAAAGTTATAAGAAAAAATATTTCGCCAATAACGTGTTTTTTTTCAAAACTATATGGACTAGTGGGTTTAGTTTCTCAAATTTGTTTCAGAAAAATTTATTCATTTCCAAAACATTTAACTTTTAAAACATCGCCAAATAAATAAATGTTTCCAAATTGGCTATAAAATGAGCTTTATTTAACATTCTTTGTTGAAGCAACAAAGTCACTTCATTAAATATTTGTTTGTGGAAATTTATAAAATGTATCCCAAAAGTTTAAATGAGAAAGTAACACCCAAGTTACAGTGAGTATAAAGTACACTGAATGAACACCTACTTATAAACTAGAACCTTTTTCTAATTCATCTGCTGTTAATCTCAAAATCTAGTGAATGAAAGATTTAATAGTAATTTCAAGTTTTTGGTAACGGAGTGTTACAAAAGTATTTCAAGAACGCAAAGAAATAAATCGAGATTTGTATATAAGTACAATAATCTTTTAACACATTTGACATCATAATTTTCAATATTTCTATAATATGTTTGCAATTTTTTCTTACCGCTGCCTGTTAAACCATAATTTTTTTCGTTTTAAAATAACAAACACAACTATTTGTGCTTTCTTGACGCCAATATAATATTAAAAAGCAATTTACTTCACTTTGCATTGAGATTAGCTTTTATAATTCACTAAGCCCAGAGGTCATTAATTCAGAACAGCACGAGGAACCAAAAGAAAATATTTGTAAAGCAATTTAATGCCGTAACCATCATACATACATACAAATAAGCCGAACAATTGCAAAACGAAGAACTATACTAACTATGAGAACAATTTTTCATTTCTGCTTAGGTACGCGCTCACTAGGGACGGCCGTGACAATTGGAATTTCTACCCTACCGAGCTGCATCAATTCGATAATACACTTTATAGCGCTTAAAAGCGTTTTTGATTTTGGCATTAACTTAATGCAATAACTTGTATTCGTTTATTTGAATTATAATTTTATGAACCATCGACACTTGTTTTATGGCTTGTGAAAAGTGGGTAAATGGATAGCCAGCGACAAACTTACCTGGAATATGTGTTCGACTTTGTATTTGATTTTCTCTTCCTCGGGACACTCGTCCGGTAAGCGTCCCATCAGTTCGTAAATGGCAGTCACAATATCAGTCATTTCTTCCCTCGTTATGAAGCCGTCACCGTTGATGTCGTACAACGAGAATGTCCAGCGTAATTTCTCCTCCACAGAGCCGCGCGACAATATCGATAGTCCTTGAACAAAGTCCTGCAAGCATACGAAAAACAAATGCTCGTAGATAATTTGCAAACACCACTGTAAAATCAGTAGAGAATCAAGAAGAAAAATCTAATGACAAACAATTTTATTTCCATGAAAGTTGAATATATTCCACCACCACCCAATGGAAATCTTCTGTTAGATATTTCTACACCAGCTGTTGTGTGGTAACCACAAATGTCTCGTCATTCGTTATACTCGGCTGTTCGTCTTATTACATGCCCAATTGACAACTGTTGTTCACGGCAGTTTGAAGTACGTCATTTATTTTTATCACTCAGAAAATGGCGAATGAAATTACCGTAAACAGACAAATTGAAATGGGATGAGCTTTAACGTATTTAAACAGAAATATGTAAGAGTATGTTGAACACGAAGTGCTGCTAGCATTTGAGAATTATTGTAATTGAAAATGCTGTAAGCCGTTGTGCATAGTAGGTAGTAATCTTCATGTAAATCTGTATACCAAAAATATTCTTGTATACAACTTTAAGGTACCATTGACTTCAAGGTATTCAATTTGTTATAACAGTAAGTAAAACTGTCAGACGTTTTCCATCCACCGATGCTTGTTTTCGTAATCTCTTTTAACTGTTTGTTTAAACGATGGCATTACGAACATTTTTACTGAATGAAGTTGGTAGTCTACTTAAATCGGATTTCTGGAATTTTCGTCTGAGATATTCTACTAATACGAATAAAATTAAATACCTTTGCTTTGAAGTGCGAAATTCTCAATTACTCGGTGCCTTTATACATCATCTTTTACTTTGCTATGAAATAGACAATAGAATTATAGGTTTTTATACTCTTGCAGCATGTTGCTACAGAGTATAATAGTTTACATCAACTAACGGTTGTTTGTATCACCTACTACACTAATCTAGATAGATATAGGGTTATATAAATATAAATGAATAGGATGACGAGACGAGTTGAAATCCGAGTGACTGGTGAACTTGATTAAAAATTGAGATATCTTGACGAAACATTGATACATATGTTCCCTGGCGTCCAAGGAAGATTGGTATTGCAGGTGGGCGAAATCGGACCATTGCCATGTCCACAATTAATCGAAAACATAAAAAATGCCATAAATAAGCACTAAATTAAGATATAACCTGTAATTTGGTGCAGAAAATTACAGTGGTGAGAGACACCTGTGGTTTGAAATCTTCACAAAGTGGGCGTAGCCCCGCCCTCTAGTTAGTTTATTGTACATAAATCCCATAGCATCCAATTTATAACAACCAAATTCGCTGAGGTCAAACCTTTTTAGCATTCCTACCCACGCTGTGAAAATGGATAAATTCGGATTATAATCCTGCCCACTTCCCATATAACAGTTTTGTTAATAACTACTAAAAGTGAATTTTGGACTCGAGATGATACAAAATGGCTTTATAGGAGCCGGTTTTAAATTGGAAGTATGTAGCCATCGCCTAAATTAAGGGGAAACCCCATATCTCGGGACTTAATTTACCGATCTCAACTAAATTTGTTAGATAATATCATCCTGAAAATCTCAGATTACAGTAAGAAAATGTACGAAATCTGACAAAAACTACACCGTATAACACAATTTTAAATTCCATCTGATTCTTTCACTTTGCACAAATTGTGCGTTTATGGTGTCCTACCTTATGACCCAAAATTGTCTAAATCGGAATAAAACGGACAGTTCTTATTGCGAACTTTTTGTCGAAAATATCTGTCCATCTGTGAGATATATAATATTAATTCGGAGATAATCCTTTTCTGATAATAATATGGCCGTATGTCAAAAATTGGTTGAATCGGGTCAATAATTTCCTTAGCGCGCATATAACCTAACAGAAAGATTTTCGAACTTCCGGCTGACATTATATCGCATATATCGGCAAATAGGTAAGATATTTTAGAAAAATAGACTGAACATATAATATTGGAAAGTTTAATGCCGAAAATATGTGAAATTGGTCGACAAATTAATCAAACTCATTGTATATTACATATAATGATTTTCGTTATTCTAAAAAACCGTATGCACCTAAAAGTATTTCGTCGGTTTTGATCCATGCCAGTTGCAAGAGTATAAAATGTTCGGTTACACCCGAGCTGAGCACTTCCTTACATGTTTTTTATACTCTCGCAACCTGTTGCTACAGAGTATAATAGTTTTGTTCACCTAACGGTTGTTTGTATCACCTAAAACTAATCGAGTTAGATATAGGGTTATATATATATAAATGATCAGGATGAAGAGACGAGTTGAAATCCGGGTGACTGTCTGTCCGTCTGTCCGTCTGTCCGTCCGTCCGTGCAAGCTCTAACTTGAGTAAAAATTGAGATATCTTTATGAAACTTGGTAGACATGTTTCATGGTACCGTGAGACGGTTGGTATTGCAGATGGGCGTAATCGGACCACTGCCACGCCCACAAAACGCCATTAATCAAAAACAAATAACTTGCCATAACTAAGCTCCGCAATAAGATACAAGACTGTTATTGGTACACAGGATCACATTAGGAGGGGCATCTGCAGTTAAAATTTTTTTAAAAAGTGGGCGTGGTCCCGCCTCTAATAGGTTTAATGTGCATATCTCCTAAACCGCTATTGCTATAATAACAAAATTCACTGGAAGCAAATATTTTAGCACTTCTATTGACGGTGTGAAATAGTTGAAATCGGTGGCAACTCCGCCACTCCCATATAACGGTACTGTAAAAACTACTAAAAGCGCGATAAATCAAGCACTAAACACGCCAGAGTCATTAAATTTTATCTCTGGGATGGTATGAGATGACTTTATAGGAACCGCGTTCAAAATTAGACAGTGGGCGTGGCACAGCCCACTTTTAGGTGAAAACCCATATCTTGAGATCTGCTTAACCGATTTCAACCGAATTCGGTGCATAACGTTCTTTTTATGTTTCTATGTCACAGTGCAAAAATGGGCGAAATCGGACTACAACCACGCCTACTTTCCATATAACACTATTTTAAATTCCATCTGATTATTTCAATATGTATATATATATATATATATATGTATATCTATGCAAATCAGGCAACAATGACTGTATCGGGATAAAACTTTGCGTGAATAATGCGATTAAAGTATGCCACCTTGTGGCCAAAAATTGTCTAAATCGAACCAAAACTGTTCAAACCCCTAAGTACTAAATATGTGGACCCCAGTGCCTATAGTTGACCTTCTACCGAAAATATCAGCCAATCCACAAAGAAATCTCAAACGAGTATACTATTTGACTTTGCGAGAGTAAAAAATGTTCGGTTACATCCGAACTTAGCCCTTCCTTACTTGTTTTCTTTTTGCTTTGTTTGAGAAAATTGGAGAGTAGTACCCCTATTACTCATCTATAATTGCGTGAGTATAGCTGTCGTTCAACAAATTTAATTTAAATTCTAATCAACGTTGTTGTTTTCCATTTCTTTATGTTTCATTTTACAATTTTGCCTCTTTGACTTCCCTGAAAAGTTGGTATAGGCATATGGGATTGGATTTCTGTACCCATCAAGTTAGTTTAAATAAAATTTTACTTGGTCAGAAAAACTCATCGGCTCCACTCATGTACCACCTCGCATATGCAAAATGTTACTAAAACCTATCTGTCTTCGATCCACCAAGCGTAACTCTCCAGCGAATCGTACAAACTATATCAGATGCTCAAACAGAGGGGTAATACTTGTGGTGCGCTCAGATGTCTTCTGACGCATGCACAATAGTGTCCTGATTTTTTCTTAGTGGAGAAATTATTTTCTTTGTGTTAAAAAACTTTGCTGTAACCCTTTATTTTTGTTTTCTATAAATTATTTAAATTCATTTTAAGGCTAAGTTTTAAATATATAAGAAAAAAACATTTGTATTTTCAATTGTCATTTGAATCATTCACAACGGTAAACTGGTTAAAAATGTATAACATAAAATAGCGTAGTACTAAAGATTCGCGATTTAATCCATTTTTTGGCCGAGAGTAATAATTAAAGCTACTCTAAACAACACAAATTGCGCTCGTAAGTCAAAACGTTCTGAGTATGTATAATATAAAAATGTCAAACGTTACGATAAAGTTGTGAGTTGCCAGATACAACACTAGCATTGCCAAATCACGAAATATAAAATGCAATCTACGTAACATCGATATATAAAGAGCGGTACTACATGGGTTGAAAAGTTCGGCTTAACAATTTGACCGAGTTTTGTTATCAATTCAATTATCGTAGAAAATTTGTTTACTATGTTAAAAATTGTTGATAAAAATAATTCAATATGAATACCAACACCTGTTTAAAATCTAAACCAAAATATTATAGATTTTTCAATTGTAACGTGAAAATTTATGATATTTTCTAAATCTTAATTTCTTTATGAAATTTCACTTTACGGTTGCCTAACAAAATTTGAGAAACTCTCATGATCTTTTCTGGTGTTACTACATCTTGTGGTCTTCCTAAATAGTGTGCATAATTAAATCTGATATGATTGCGACGAAATTCAGCGTACCTGTACTTGAATGTTTTATCAAAACACGAAATAAATTATTTTCCATTTTTTTTCGATAAACTTTTTCTGAAAATGCTCGGCTATTTAGAAATTTAAAAGTATTTATTTCCAAGTTAAACATAAAGTTCACAATTATATGTTTGTTTTGATATTTAAAAGAGTGTAGTCATGCTCATCCAAGAAAATAGTTCTTGAATAATGCCTATAATATACCAAGCAATCCCTAATATACACTATTTTATCTTTGAACGTGTGGAACTTAATTTTAGCACAAGAATAAAATTGATTCTCAGAAATGGTTACGGATATAACTGTTGTTACTGTTAACATTGAATAAATATTTTTCTTTACTTACGTCATGACTTTACAGATTAATGAAATAAGGCAAATATCTTTGTCAGCCCTTAAGCAAAGCTTTTCTCTATCACGGAAGATTTCACTTTGTTTGTCCAAAGGCGGCATTTGTTCGAAAAATCTTA